GGTCAGCTGGTCTCTCAACACGATTGATAACATTTTCTCAACAATGAGAACGGGAGAAGCGGCTCCCGGGTGCCCCTCTGGGACAGATCCAGTTGGGCATACCATGGACTCCTGGAAACAGTTGAACCTGATCTGCTTATCTCAACTGTCTGTAGAGGATTCTGAAGACGTATGGATATTCGTGGCGTTGGTGTCAGGTTTCCTGCTTTTTGGCCTGGGAAGTTACCTGGCTTACCGGAAAATTAATGAGCTGTCGATGAATATCGGCTCTTTCCCAGAGCTCAGGGATGGATTACACCGTGCTGTGAATGCACAGACTCATAATTGTCGAGATGAGTCGTAAGCTTGGAACTTTGGCTGAGATTCAGGCTCTGGCCCAAAAGATGGATGCGATCAAGGAGAGAGTCGCCATGGCAACTCTGTCTCCCTATCCCAGCCTGGGAGGGACTGCGAGCTGTGAAGGCCGCTGAATCGTTCCAGGAGTCACTGTGCCCTCTAAACCCAACAACCTCCCCCCCCCCTGTCCAGACTGAGGTGACGAGCACTGCTTATCGTGGCTGCATGCACTGACGTGTGGAGAGTCCCAAACCCTACCACCCCACCTAGTGGACACTTATGTTGTGTAATGTCTGAAGTCTGTTGCATTTGTCTGAGGTGTTTTTTGAATAGCAAAGCTGCCCTCCCTGTGGAGGGTAACTCTGAAGTGCCTTTTTTTCCTCCACCTGACTCAATCCTCATGTAAACCCTCTGTTCTCTATTAAGGTAGCGCGACTCGGGTTGCGAATGACCACAGTCACCAATTCTTGTCATGTGTCTCTGCCTATGTATGTCTAATCTCAGAATTGTGTGTACTGAAACTCTAATTTCCCTCTGACATTAATAAAGTATCTTTGAATTGAATTTGAATTGAATTGAATCAGGAGACACGAGATGTACAACTGTCAGGGTTTCCCCCAGCGCGTTATAAGCCTGGCAGCCCGCCAGGCTTTGCTTGCCCACCCGCCAGGCTAAGCGTCATGCCCTACCCCCCCACCCGACCCTACCGTGTCCGCTGACACGAACGGCGCTATGAAACTAGAGCCCTCCATCAGCTGATACTGGTGAGAAACAGCAGCGGAACGTGTGCAACCCCCCCTCCCCCGCTCTCACAGAGGAGCGCTGCGGGACAGAGCGAGCGACCCCAACACCGTCACCTTCAGTTTATCATAATTCAATCTAAAATCATTTAAAATCTTCAAAAGGGCCGTCTCTGTGCTGTGGTTCACCCTAAAACCAGGCTGAAATTTCTCTAGGACATTATGAGTGTTTATAAAATCATTTAGTTGATTTAAAACCAACTTTTCTAAAATTTTGCTTAAAAATGGTAAGTTGGATACCGGTCGATAATTGTTTCATTCATTAAAATCTAAATTGCTCTTCTTCAACAGGGGCCTCACCACTGCCCTTTTAAAGGCAGCAGGAAAGACCCCTGTCTGAAGGGAGCAATTCATCAGGGTTAAAATCTCATCACAAAAGATCCATAAAATTGTTTAAAAAACGAAGTTGGAATTGGGTCCAGGACACATGTGGAAGGTTTCACTGAGGAGAAAACTTTATTAAGAGTTTCAGCTCCTACCAGGACAAAACTGTCCATTGTTTCCTCTGGTATAGACACACATTCAGATTTATCTAAAACCTTATTGCTTAGGGAGGGTAAAATAGTCCTTCTGATGATATTTCAATGTACATTTCTAATGTTGTGAAATGTGTTTTTGCATTGCTGTGTTACTGACCATATTTGTATATATTTTATAAGAAAACAATGAAGGACTATGTGTCAATAGATGACAGGATTTTTAACAGTTGCTACTAATTGAAATAAGTGCAGTACTCTTGAAGTTGATGCATCTGGTAACCATTGTGAAGTTTATATAGGAATTGTTTAACAATATATTTAAAATGCACATTTCAACCTCAAGTACTGATTTAGTAAAACTGATTACTTTTCTATTTTTATTATGATGTGCAACAAAAAATAAAGTGCTACAAACAGAACAAACTGCTAGTATGAGGTTCACACTGATCTATGGGTAAAACATTTTCTTTTCTTCACACAAAGTCTTCATGACATTTTTCAGCCACATATGTACGCTTCATGATGTCACAATTTTTGACAGATGTTCTATTCAAGCTTTTCAGACTCCTGGGGTCATGCTCCTTCACTGCATTTCAGGTGTAGGGTAAAATAAAGAATGCTAAAGATGTGGCTGAAACATAGCAAGTTAGCAAAAACAGTTTTCACCATCTGTCGGTGGTTTTTTTTTAATTAAAAACAGAATCAAACACCATTCACAATTTTTTTTTTACAGTCATCAAACAACCCTCTAATTTTTGTTTCCGACATTTTTGAATAGTCATTCACTTGTGAATTTCTGTCCCAACACATCAGGTAGGATGCAGTGTGTGAAGTACAGCTGAACTTTGGGGATTGCTGTTTCCCACAGCTGAACATCTGGCAGAATTCTTTCAACATGAATGTCATTTTTGTTCCAAACAATGAAATAACAATATTGCACATCTGCTATGTGGAGCTGAGCCAGGGCCTGATAGTAGTAAGGATGATTCCTGTCAAGTTGCACAGCATCTCCTTCCTTGATGAGACAAAAGCCAGGCTGTCCAGCACAGATCCTCAGACTGACTTCATGCTGTTTGCTCTGTGGACATTTGATTTCACACACCCCGGTTCCTAAATGGTTAACTCAACCCGAAATAAAATAGTTGTACGCTTCCAGGCTTTAGAAAACTTTTATTTGGTTTGCATTATAATAAGAAGTTTGCAAAACGAGGTAGTTTATGTCAATAGCTTCAACACTGGGTAAATCCTCAAGGTTGTAAGAAAAGTCCAACTTTTTTAAACTGTATGGATCATTCCCTAAATGAAGTTGTATTTTTTCATGATATCGCATCTATGCCCGTCCATTTAAAGCCTTTGTATACTCACTGTCCTCCATCACATTGTGTTCTGTAGCACAGCAAAACACTTCCTGCCCCCCACTCAAATTTTGCGCGGTTGTGAGGTCACACTAGTCACGTGAGTGAAACCCAGCAATTGTAAGCTTGTGATTCATGTGCATTACAGCCAGCGATCCAACAGCAGACAGTTATCAGAATGAGTCTTTTCAAAATAAGCTCTGGCGCTAATGACAGTTATCCTTGTTTGAATGCAGTGAAACGAGCTGCTGCGCCTCCACGCCGTGAACTTGTTCCCAACCTCACAGACGATCATACAAAAAACGTTACTTATGAAGCTAACAGCCCAGACGAAGCCCTCTGAAATCTGCGTGGACTATATTGGAATGTCTACTGGGGCAGCAGTAGCTCAACAGGTTGAGCGGGTTGTCCAGTAATCGGAAGGTTGCAGGTTCAATCCCGGCAGAGAATTCTGCTGTTGTGTCCTTGGGCAAGACACTTAACCCTGCTGGTGGTGCCTGCTGGTGGTGGTCGGAGGGACCGGTGGCGCCTGTGCTCGGCAGCTACAAGGTAGCTCAGTGCTACAAGGTAGCTCGTCACCATCAGTGTGTGAATGTGTGTGTGAAATGGATGAATGATACACTATAGTGTAAAGTGCTTTGGAGTCATTACTCTGAGAGGCGCTACACAAGTGTGGGTCATTCATTTTTTTACTGTGTGAAGTGGAGGGAAAATCATGCAATCAAAATTTTATTAGAAGTTTCTATTTTTTTAGTGCTTTAGAATTTTCTGCATAAAACAGCAAGAGGTTTGTGGTGCACAAATAGTTACTGAGAAATAGTTATTGAGTTTTATAGGGAAAATAGGTGTTTAACAACCTATGTAAATGCACCAGAGTGCAGGAAATGGCATCTATAACATTTTTCTTTTTCTGCCCACCCCGTGTTCCCCCCACATTTTTTATGCTTCTGACGCCCATGCAGTCGGCCATAATGCTCCTGCTTGTGTCTGTTGTGTCTGATTCCTAATTTGTCTAATAAAATAAAGAAATGTCGGTGTAAATATTTAGTTTAATGAAAGGAAACTAAAGTGTTTTTTAAAAACCATGGCCTCCAGAATGCACTCATAAACACATAATCGCAAGCAGCACAGAGTAATTGATGCTAGACAGTCCGCTGCACAACCAGCTCTGGGTCTGACGGACATTTCAGTTGTCAGCCCACTTTCTTTTTACTTCTTGTTCATAAATGTAAAGAGTGTGGGACTTTAGTTGTGTGTCTGAATTAAAATAAAAAGAGTAGATGGAAAAAGCATTATTCATTATTTATAGAGCGGGGGCAAATGTTTGTGTGCATCGGGAGGGGTTGGGGGGTGTTGGTTTCAGGTTAACCGGCTATTAACAATTAAGGGGCACCACTAACTGGTTAAAGACATTTTGGAAAACGTGCATCCCTCATATGAACACATTAATCACTGGGTGGCCAGAAGTAAACAGCTTTCTGAACCTGTTTGTAAACATAGTTTATATGGTCAACAAGACTTCTGGTGGAAATTATTTACAAAGATATTGCATCGACCTACTGAGAACTTTTGGAGAATGAATCAGATTTAAAATGGCAAAAACACATTTTGGTCTTGTCTGTGCTTGGATAGTTTTGTAGAGTGTAACAGCTATTTCCCCAAACAAAGGCTGTTCAGACAGCTATCTACAAAAGATGAGACTTCAGTTATTTATAACTTACCACAAAAAGACCAACATATATCTTTAACTGAAGGGTCAAAGAAGGTTAAAGTAAAGTATTTTGTATTTGTGACACTGACACAAGAAAACAATGACCTCACCTCACCACAGATGATTCTAATAAGATTAAAAAAGGCTCCACTCACGCTGTGATAAGCTAACACACCGTGACAATGAGCAAGAGAAAACAACAAACCATCTGTAGAGTAGAGCTGAATAAATGATCAACTAATTTTCCTTGTTAACACATCAAAAGACTCTTTAAACATGGAAGGTCTGGACAACATCAACACTAACACAAGCCTCTCACCAGACGATGCCCTGGGCCCCGGAGCCGATAGCACGGAGCTGCTGGTAGCGCTTCAGCACAGTGAAGGTGGAGTCTCCCACCTGAACACTGTAGAATTGTCCGTCCGCCTCACTCATCCTGCTGAACAATCAGGACCACCGGCACAGTCTGCAGAGAAACACAAATAAGACATGATGGAGGTCATCCCGGGCAGTTAAGCTGTCTCTGACCGCAGCGAGATAAGGTTAATACTCTTAACAGATATCTCTCTTTTGATTTTGTTAGATCAGATCAGTCTAAAACCATAATCTGCTAGGAGAAGCTGTGTGGTGGAGCTGTGAATGTTTTGGTGTATGATCGTGTTCGAACATCACAGAGAACAGAGGAGGGTGACAGCAGCTCCTCAGGCTGACACACTCATCCTCACCAAACACACACTGGTGTACTTTAATTTAGGAATGTTAAAATGGAACTGAATGTAGCTTCAGTCCGGGGAACATAAATGTTGATAAAACACACAGTGTGTGTATGTGTGTGGGTGGGCTCATAATGAACATGGCAGTTTGATTCCTGAAGCAGGAAGCAGAGCCATCTTATTCTTGGCAGTGTACTGTGTGTGCGTGTGCACTCGTGTGTGTGCACTCGTGTGTGTGTGTGTGTGTGTGTGTGTGTGTGTGTGTGTGTGTGTGTGTGTGTGTGTGTGTGTGGGTGACAACACACAATTGTGTAGCTATGCAACAGCAGCAGTAGTGGTCATCCATCATTTGCTTAGAAAATAGCCACAAGTTGAACTGAGGGCATTTATTTATTTATTTTCATTTTCATTCAAATCACTGGTATGTTTTGTGTCTGAGACAAAGACCTGTTCACTGCTGACCTTTCCATGTTGGATCTGTGATACAAGTGGAACGTACTTTAGCATCATCCTGCTAAAGTAATGCATGTCATCAGCTGAAAAGCATATTATCTGGGTGGCAGCACCAGTTTCTCTAACCTTGTAGCTCAGTAAAGATGGTCTTTTGCAGAACTACTTTAATTTATGTGCACTAACACAGCTGTGCACCATCACAGGAAGTCCTGCTGCTTGTCAATGATGTGCTGAGAAACAGTCGTCCCTCTCATCTGTAGCCTGGAGGATGCTGCATTCATGAGTTTCAAAAAGCGTTTAAAATACGGATTAACTCTTGCTTTAGTCGGTTTGAAACTAATTGAGGCACGGAAAATTAGCAGCATAAGTTTAATTGTATTTTTTACAAATGTAGCAATTATCTTGCCATTCAAACATGCCTCCTTTCAAAAATATACAATTCAAAAGTACGACCCCCTTTATTTTCCCAAAACATTCTAGGAACAACGGTAGCAGAGGAGTTAAGTGCCCGCACCGTAATCCGAAGGTTGCAGGTTCAAGCCCCAATTAGTCTGTCACAGACACTTAACGCACCTTGCTTGCTGGTGGTGTTCATAGGGACCGGTGGCGCCTGTGCTCGGCAGTCTCACCTCTGTCAGTGCGCCCCAGGGCAGCTGTGGCTACGATGTAGCTCATCACCCCCAGGGTATGTGTGTGTGTGTGCGCGCGCGCATGCGTGCGTGCGCATGGATGAATGACCGATTATGTTGTAAAGGTCAATGGGAGTTCTAGGATTTAAGAAAGCGTTGTATCAAAGACAGCCCATTTACCCCTAAAGCCGGGCCTACACTGTGCGACTTTTTCACTCGTAGCTTTCAGTTCCATGACTTAAAAATGGAAAACACACTTTTATGACAATCCTTGTTATTATGTGCAGAGAAAAGTGTAAAAATAAAAAGAAATTAAAGCTGCAAGCAGCGTCGTTCGGCCCTCGCAGCGAAGCTGCTCGCCCTCCTTCCGCACCCCCTCCGTTCCATCCCCAACGCTCTCCAAACCCATCTCCGCGCTTCTCCATCCTGGCCGGCAGCCGAGGGCACCAGGGCACGTCTGACGGAACAGACAGTCAAGCACCCTGACACCAGAAACCGTGAACGGCCTCCTCGTCCACACCTCACCCTGACTCAGCATCCCTTCTGAGCCCACCATTACACGTCTCACCACTAGGAGATACTCTATCTTTACCACACTGGTGATGTGATGTTCAGTCTCGGGCAAATCGGAGGCTGTTTGTGGAAGTTACAGTCAAACGTAAGGTCACAGCGTCACGCCAGAAATCGCCATGGCATCAAAGCCCCTCCCTTTCTGAAAAGCTATCAGATCTGAATGGTCATTACAACATCATGAAGACAGTGCATGACCTTAGTGTCATCTTGACTAAATTAGAGGGGACAAATATGGGCATTTCACCATAAAACAGTAGACTTCCTGTAGTCAGGGGGCGGGGCTTAGGTGATGTCGGCTGTCCACATTGTCACTGTCTTCAGATGTGGTCAGTGATAACACAGATAAAGTTTGAAATTGATCTGATCATGCACATGGGAGTTATTAAGTCAAGTAACGTAATGGCGACTGGTCAAAGTTTGAGGCTTAGCCACGCCCACACCTTTATACTTATTTAAAATCCGACGGTTGAATTTTTTCCACTATGTCTTAAGAGCATATAGCAGTAGTTTGAAGGTGATCGGTGGAAAGGTCGACGAGACATCATTCTCCTAATAACGTGTGCGAAAACCACTAAATTGCGTACTTGGAGCAAAATGGCCGACCTCCTGTGCGACATTGCGCTTGGCTCCAAAAGACTTTTTTGTAGGTCCTGAGACACTACATCAGTGTGCCAAATTTCGTGATCCTCAGTCAAAGCATGGCTTGGGGCTGACAGTTTTAATGGTCCTAGGGGGCGCTATTTCAGAAAATAGGCCACGCCCACAAACTTCAGCTGTCCAACTCTATTAGGGGTCAGAGTAGGATCACTCATCAGAAATTGTGTGGCGATGTCACAATGATTGAAGAAATGAGAGACAAACGTATTTCCATGGCGTAATGGCGAATTTCGCCATGCTCCCAAAGCCCCGCCTTTATTCGAAACCTGCCAGTACTATAGACCAAGTAGGGCTGTAGCGAAGCCTCGACGAAGTCGACGGCTCGATTCTAAAAATTTGTCGACGTCAGATCCGGAAGTCGACGCACCGCGCCCACTTGTTGCATCCCCAGGAGTTTGTAAATAGAGGAGGAATCTGCCTGTTTTTCCTCTAGTTCGCCCTCTTCTCCGCCTTCACTAACATCTCCGCCAAATACCGAAGACCCGGAACAACGTCCGTCCACTACTAGATTATTTTCCTGTTTTGCCCCTTCGTCTCCCGGCAACGGACAACAACTTCCGGGGTCAGATGTGCGCTGCTCCGTCTCTGTCGCAGATGTAGAAAATCACCGGGAGCGCTTCTCCCTTCATTAAGGAGCTTCTTTCAGACATGAGGAGAGCTGTTTTGGTGGTAGCAGTCTCTCCTCCGTGCTGGTCTGTTTGCTGCTGGGTGTTTTTGGTTTATTTAAACTTGGTAACTTGAACTTAATGTTGGTAAAGCTACTGTTAGCATCTTCGCTAACAGCTTCTTGCGTTGGGATAAGCTGTTACGTTTTGGTTTAGAGTTCATCTTTTTTGTGGTGTAGATCTCCCTTTTATTACATTTAGAGTGTTGTGGGTTTTCGGTTTAGTTTAAAATGTAAGACCACTCGCCTCACGCACATAAGTGACCAAAACAAAGCAGCATGGAGACACTCCATCTTCTACCACCTCTCAGGCAGCAGCCTGCACTCCCAGGTTCTACACGTCACCAGAAAACCAACACAATAAACGCAGTGTTATACAAAATGGAAGGCCTGTAGTGTTTATTCTCTTACAGTAAGAATTTATCAATTTTTTTGAGGAATTTATTTGAGATTTTCTGGTTTTTGTTAATTGTGCAATAGAAAAATAATCATTAGATTAATTTTCTAAATAGTCATTAGAATAGTCGACTATTCGATAAAATAATCGTCAGAATAATCGTTTTAAAAATAATCGTTTACCCCCAGCCCTAAGACCAAGTGACCTCAACTTGTCTGCTGCTATTAGCCAGTGATTGCTGGTGATTGGTTAAAAGGAGGCCAATAGGGAGCTGTGAAAAAAAGAGTGGCGTGGCGACAGGTCAAAGTCTGAGGCTTAGCCACGCCCACACCTTTATACTTATTTAAAATCCGACGGTTGAATTTTTCCCCCTTTGTCTTAAGAGTATATAGCAGAAGTTTGAAGGCGATTGATGAAAAGGGCGATGGTGCAACACTCTCCAAACAACGTGTGCGAAAACCACTAAATCGAGTACTTGGACCAAAATGGCTGACTTCCTGTGTGACTTCGCACCTGGCTCCAAGAGACTTTTTTGTAGGTCCTGAGACACCACATTAGTGTACCAAATTTCGTACTCCTCAGTCAAAGCATGGCTTGGGGCAGACAGTTTTAATGGTCCTAGGGGGCGCTATTTCAGAAAATAGGCCACGCCCACCGGATGTTCACATCAGATTCTTTTGGGGGCCGGACTAGGATCACTCCCAAGAAGTTTCGTGGCGATATCTCTAGAAATGACGAAATGGGAGGCAAACGTAAGGCCACGTGGATACGCCTGTTTTCGCCGTGCCGCCACTGCCCCGCCTTCTGCAGAAAACTCCCATAAAGTGACGCCAAGAAACCCCACCTTGTCTTCAGTTACCTGCTACAAATTTGGGATGATTATTTGAAAGGGCGAATTTTGGAAAATTTCCCAGTAAAACTTGACCTTTTAATTCCTGAGGGGGTGGGGCTTATGTGACATCATCAATCGACCATTCATTTGTCTTCGGGGGGCAATGACGATTGTCCATAGAATGTTACTTTAACTGTAATTCTTTCATTTATGAAATTATAGCAATTTGAATTTTCTTGGCGAGTGCTCGAACTTTGAGGCCTGGCCCCGCCCCTTCAGTATTTACGAAAAGTCAATTTTATTTTCTCATTTGAATCGTCCATCGCTTCTGTTCGATCGCACACTATTTTTGAGACGATCGTGCGAAAAATGACCAAACTGTTCAACCAAATATAGACCCTAGAAATGGCCAAAATGGCTAAAAATCGCCATTTCAACCCAAAATGGCCGACTTCCTGTTTGATATTGACCATGGTTGCAAGAGACTTTTCTGTGCGGACTGTTGAGTACTACAAGTAAACCAAATTTCATAACCGTACGATAAACTA